ATGCCAGAAAGAGGCAAGACTTTGGTTTCAGTGTTTATATGTTTGTGTCCTCTGTGATTTTTCGTATAGCACCAATATATATCAACAATATTCAACAATATGCTTTCATAGATTTTTGCTAGCAGAATACTAGTAGAATAATTAATGCAGGTTCAATGCGTCTTGAAAACCAGTAACTTGTTCGTATTTATTCAATATGATTGTTTCAAGTCAGAGGCTATCAGAATATTTTTCATCGTACCGACAATGAGATTCTTTGTGAGGTTAATCCTTCTACACCCTTGGCGAATACAAAGTCAAAAACAATGCTCAAGGCAATTCATCTCGAACATGTGGAAATATTTTTATTTCTTTTGGTGTATTTTTAAGTTTTTTAAAATACGATTTTGTGTAAGCAAACATGTGTGTTTGCCTGAGGCAGAGCTTCCTATGAAGAGAGAGTTGCGGTCTGGAAGAGACCAGTGGACTTTCGTTGACAGCTTCGGTGAACCAGGGTTGGACAGCTTCATTCGCCTTCCGCATAAAGTGGCCAGATTTGTTCAGATTTGTATTTCTATGTATTTTTTCAATTCTTTTTGTCGAAAAACATGGTCGCAAACCCCTGGTCTAAGAGACATAGTCTGGGGGGTCATTGTAAGAGATGTCAGGTATATGAAGAGGAGGTATTGGAGTCTGCGCGTGGTGAGTGTATCCTATCACCAGAGGAGTTTTACAAATATCCGTTTAGCGAGCAGTAACTTGGTCAATATCATCAACAGGTTTTGAAATGTTTCAAACAGGTTTAAATATGTTTAGACATTTGTGAGGTTTCTTCATGGTGGATTCTTTAGATTGTCTATAAAAGTTGATATTTTTGAATAAATAGACAACCTACAGTAATACTATTTTGTGAATTTGTCAATTATTTTTTTCTGTTGCAAGGCGGCCTTTCTGGGGCGTTACCATGAAAGAGTTGAGTGCTTGGACAAGATTCTGCGAGCAAACCCCAGGGAAGATGGATGCCTTTGCTAGCTTGGATGATAGTGTGAAGGCAAAGCTGATATCCAGTAGTCCTCTTCGTGTATGCAGATTTCGTTTCCCTCGTCTGGTCGAGCATGTTGAGCAGCATGGTGGATTGGCTGCTCGATCATACGCTTACAAGTTCTATTTATGTTATTTTATGTTTATGTTTTTTTGTTATTTCAGACTTCTATATGTTCTAGATCAATTCTTCAGTGAGCAAGGATTCAGATGAACCGTGGGAAGACATTGAGCGCAATCTGCTAAGAAGTTGGCCAAATCAGAGCTTTGAGCATGGTGTTTGGGGTTATGTTCAATCAATATTTTTGTATGTTGTTTTTGGTTGAGCTATTGACTGTTTGATAGAACATATTTGAAAAATATATTCTAGCGGTCTATTTGAATCCAAAGACCATTGGAATAAAATGTGGCGATATTGGTTTATGTTAAGTTTGATTGGATATTGAGATGTCTAATTATTCAAGTGGTATATAAGAAGTGAGATACATGCAGAATAGTTTATCTATAGTGGGAGAAGCCTAGGATCACCAGCTCACTTTGGACAAATTGTTCACTCGCTTGCGCGTCATCTACGATCTGCATACGGATCTGGCTGGCCGCAACATGTAGCTATCATCGATCCACCTATGTTCCAAAAGAATGACGTTCTCAAGTTGCAGCAGTATCCAGCTCTCATGCTCATCATACTGACCCTCTTCTTTTTCATTGGAAAATACTGTAGATTTTTTATGTTTTTCTATGCCTTCTTATGTTTTATGTTTTGGTATGTTTTCGCATTTGCTGTTTCACCACATGATCTGATAAAAAGCCACTTGAGGAGAACTGATGATCACCAAGCTCTCATGGTCTTGCGTCGTGGTGAATGGGCACCCCGTGTCTTCGATGGAAAGAATGATCCAGGCATCTTGCAGCAGGCCCGCGCAGTATGTCAACAAATACAAGATGTCTTGAGCAAAGCCAACATATTGCCTCTAGACATTGGGAAC